GAAAATCATAAACAATGTTATGTGATTTAAGCCACAAGAACCCTAATTTGAATATAAATAAATTGAGAATATATTTCAAAATATGATAAATGAGAAATAAACATACATGCGTTAACCATCCTTGTAATGATAGGTCCATTAACAGTGTGATAATTAAGAATATATTCAACCTAGTATTAATAAATATCAAGATAAGAATGCAATATTTTAGGTTAAAGTTAAATAAATACCTTTTTCCTACCTCTAACCAACCTCCCGGTTTTAATAATCTAAAGATTTCTGATAAATATTCATAAAAAGTATTTTTTCCATAGAAATTATATTGATCTCTTGAAAAAATATAATCAAATTCATTGTCGGGAAAAGGTAGCTTTTTAAGAATATCACATTTAATAAATTTAATATTATCATTATCAGCATTAGAGGCTGATATATTAAAATCGACCACATAAAATTCTGTATTTGGATATTCGGTAGCAACCTAATGTAAGTTTGAAAATTAGGCATTAAAGATAAAAGTATCAAATAACATAAAATGATCAATAAATACTTCAGTAACCCAAGTTCCAGTCCCACAACTTTTTTTTTTGACGAAAATTTAAATTAATAAATTGTTGTAAAAGGTATTATCAAATAACAAGAATATATTGTAATGTACCCAAATTCCAGTACTCTGGCACCATTTTTTAACTTTTCATGTACTGGAGCGCCTATATGACCACTAAAAACATACTCGTAGAGAGAGTGCATATAAAATAAAGCATTGTTTAATTCTTCTTGATCCTTAACAGGGAAATGAAATATATTTTTATTTCTTATTTCATATTCATCGATTTCGTCCATTGTGGGAAAATTTTTTAAACTAATAATTTTATTAATAAATCTGACAAACATGCACCATTTTATTGATTTCTAAATTCTGTATGAACTGATCGTAACTTTAAACAGAATTAATAATTTTTGACCAATAAAAAGATAGCGCCATAAATGATTGCATATCAGATATTTAATTCACACGGGTTTGTTAGCATACCAGGTAGGTGAAAAGTCCCTAAACAGGACCTTTTTTACTATATTCGCTAATATTTAGGTTTATTATTTTTAATATCTATTACGTATTGTACAAACTAGTGTAATCGCAATCAAAAAATACAGTATATCAATGATTTAAAAAAAAGTCATGTGCAAGGACTTTTCACCCACCTGCCCGGTATAAATAAGCCAGATTTTATGTGTATTTATTATAAAACGCACCTATAGTTGGTTTGCACCTATTATATGTTTTTTATATATTTTTCCAAGTGTTTATAAGTTTTATATAAAATTTTTAGCATTAAATTTTTATGTTGAGACAGTATTTAATATTAGATTTAAGGTTTAGGAAGATTTTGGTGGGACGTAGAGTATCGTATATTAATTAGTTAGCAAGTTTTCAATATAATGCAACATAGGTGGTAAAACACCATAGGTGCGTTTTAGGAAAAGTGTATATTAACACCTATTTTTAGATTATAATCATATATGCG